GGGGGGGGGGGTGAACATTTTGTCTAGAATATGGCGCCATCTATGGGGCTTTGACTTAATGGCACGAGCATCGTCGACACGGCTGGACGACCTATCAGAGGGTGGACTCTCTTTGATATTTGGGAAAGCACAAAGGACGAACTTTTGATACCGAGCAGTACCAGTAAGAGAAAGATATATGTAGGCTTGCGTAAGGCTTATTTTCATCGTCCTTGGGTTTTTTTTATTTGGTCGTTCAGCAGCCGTCAACGATTTAAGACTGCGTGGGGAATAAGTAAAGTACTTTTAGTGGATGAAATGCGTTTTCAGCAGTTCTCGGTTCGATGAAAGTCTGGCTTCAATTGAGTGTTGTCGATGTGTACGTCACCAATAGTTGATATAAACGTTGTTGGTTGTACGTGCATCGGTACCAAAATATTCTGAAACACGCATTACATATATAATTTGTATATATTCGAGTACGTTTCTAAGAGCACGTTAACGATTATATTATAGGCGAATTTATAGTGGAGATATTTCCGGAGAAAGTGAATAAGCGCCGACACACAAAAGAAAAATGAGACGCGTGCGTCTGTTGTGTATAAATGCCTTTAGGATAGTTGTAAATCAATGTAAACGCGAAGTGCGCCCGATATCGAATGAATTTCACTATCGCGCGATTATGCCACAATGGGCCTTCGATTTTTGTTAACGATATTTTATCGTTCCTTTCTCTTTCCTTAATTTTTTTTCGTGGTTTCCCTTGTGATTCTACAGACAATGAAAAGTGAATTTTAGAAGATCGACAGATTACCATTATCTAATGTGTGATTTTCTTTCGTAAATCACAAACAGATAATGTGTCGTCGGATGGCGAAAAATCGTTGGTTGTAAAAAATATATTTCTTTGTTAAACTATTTTATTCTTTTTTTGCGTTTTTTTTCTTTTTTGCGATATTCTTGTTCGGAGTGATAATCGTTGAACGTTTGTGTTTCTCGCGTGGCATTTTCTTTAGTTAACACTTTTTTTCCTTCTTATTCCTAATGATGAAACTCATTAGTTAGTATCAATTTGTATAACGACGAATTTTGTTACGTCGAATTACGCAACCGTATGTTTTATATACACGCTGTATGCATACTGTTTATAATCATTGTTTTTAAAAAAGGTATGTAATAAGTTCGGATTTGTAAGATGTACGTTAGCATGGATTTTGCGGACACTGTGCAGTGCAATAGTTTGTCCCTTCTTTCTTCTCACAGAAGAATACCGGAACATGTCGCAAATCGTTTTTGAACATCGAATATATTATTACTACACAGATACGTGAATACTCGAAATCGATCTGCGACACTCGACCATCTCTGCGTTGATTAATTCGTAACAGTGTCGCCATGATTCTTCTATAAACTCATAATCAGTGCAGTCTAGGTGAATTCCTTGACTATGCCATTTTTAAGCTGATTTGGAAATATACCGTCTTAATCTGTTTCTGTCCCCATTCACAAAAGTGCTAAAAAGGAATTGGACGATCAATGTCACGCGTGCAATCATTTTTTCTACATTTTGTTTAAACTGACCACTTTTATACGTTTTGCACATATTATAAATTTAACGAATCATTCACAGGAATACCCCCTGATCTTTTTGTACAGGATAATAACAGATGCATTTGAATCCTCTGAGCGTCGCGGTGTTGCTTTACGATTCGTGCCGTAACCTGTAAGGGTAGCCGCGAAACTACATATTACGTAATCGATGATTGAATCATTGTACATATAAACATTTGTACCGTTCTGTAAACCCGGTAAGAGGAAATAGAAACAATGACGAAAGCGTGAAAAGCGATGCAAAGAGAAATCCAATCTTCCTTTCGAACGTCTAAACCGCCTTTCGAGGGAAATTTCTCGACGTGAGTCGTATTATCGCGTCGAAGAAGGACCATCTCGATTCGTGGTTTGACGCGTTCACACTGTAAATAGTCACATTAGCACCCTTAAAATAACTATGTATAAAATTTCATACGTTGTTTAGGTTTTTAGTACTAGTTATTCAAGATCAGTTACCAATTATATGAACAAATTGCAAATAAACTGCAGAAATATAATATCTTGTCAGCTCTCCTTTACTCCACTCCCTTTAATTTCAAAATCAAAGACTTTACACACCATGTTTTGCCGCTCGTTTTTAAATTGCCATTAAGCACCGGCTTTCGACAAACTACGTACTACGTCGTTAATATTCGGTAGCGATTGGATGATTCTGATTGCTCCATTATCTGCCTACGTAAGTCAACATGAAGGGCTCACGATTTTGAAAAAATTCATTCAAATGGTTCCTTTTTCTACAAATATCGATCTTTATTTATTAATATTTATTTACTAATATTAATAGACTTTAAAAAGGCTAAATTCAATTTCAGATTTTAGTCTAATCCTATATTCTACATAGCGTTTAGTTCTAAATCATAGTTAAAGACATTAAATTATTTCTGTAAAGGGTTCTTTAAAAAAGACTTTATTAAAATAAATGCATGATTTGTATAGGATACGAAAGGTTTAACGATAAAAAAGATAGTAGTAAGTAATAAGAAAATAAGATTATAAATATTTTAAGAAGTTTGATGGCATAAATTAGAAAGACACGAAGAATTTTGGTTATATTAGTTATAATCCCTAGTATATTAATATATCTTGATATCTGAAATTTGGTATAAGGAAATGGATTATGACGAAAGGAATAATTCTATATATTTCATTTTATTGTTTTTTTTTTTGGTACTTTTTTTTATTGAGAGTTGCGAATATATACAAAGGATGGCGAACTAATAATAACTATTACATTAGAATCAAATAAACAAAGGTTATCATGATAGTATTAACGTGTGTTAATATTCGTTTAAATAACATAATGTTCGTAATGATGTGTGTATCGAATTTTCAAAAGATGTCATTGCATACGCCACAAAGTGTCACATCGTCGTTTATTTATTCGTATTTTGCTCTTTATATATATATAATATATATAATATATATATAATATATAATATATATATACATGTATGTATATATATATTATATGTATACGTGTAGGATTGCTTTCGCGTCACATCGACATCGGTTTCGATACATTCGATCCTCGATAAAAAGGAAAGTTCGAAATCGAAGATCGAATATAGTGTCGAAAATTGCTGCGAAAAAAAGAAAGAAAAGAAAAACAAAAAGAAATCGGATCGGAAATACATGTAAAAATCGACTGGAAATTCGATCGGCTTATCCTGATTATTCTTTCTAAGATAAGTCTAAGAAGGACAAAAGTTCTTCTTTTTACGTTTAAAACGATAAATTAGAATTTAGAAAATAAGTAACTACTATATAATTAATATTTTTTATCTTTTTTTCTCATTTTTCTTCCAAATAAATAGTAACGCATTTTCAAGAAATAAACGAATTGTGATTGTGTGGTTTCACGGTTTGCGAATCGGTACATATATTTACCGCTCTTTTACGATTGGCGGTAAGTTTAAGTATGAAAAGTGGAAAAATTTCTACATCGTTTAAGACTCGCATCCGTGTTCGGCATTTTCGGCCGGGTTATGATTTGTGCGTTTCAATCGCGACAACATGAATTCACTCGATTTGAGAAAGGCGCGATTATTTGACGCAGATATAAAATCGTGTAAAAAAAATGTGAACACGTTTTCGTAGTTAACCGTAGTCGTCGATTGTATCATCAACGAGGATTTATTTCGATTCGCAATCGTGAAAACGTTCGAAACGATTTGAAGCGAGCAAATGATATACTTTCGCCTATCTTTCGTTCTATTTTCTTAATTTCAGTATTTCCATTTAATCGTGTTGCAATGTCGGTGGAGTCCTCGAATATATCATTAAAAAAAAAGACAAGAAAAGAGGATAAGAAGAATAAAATTCAATAGAACAAATCGTTTCGTACAAATATCGACTTCGCGAGTACGGAATATCGTGAAGTTAGCGAAGAAACAGCCGAACGATGTGTGCATCGTGTCTAGTTGACGCCAAATATCACTCAAATTCGATTTGTTCTTTTTTTTTTTTTAAATTCACAACATCGAGAAATGTTATCAATGTACTTAACGCGTACTTAATTTCTTGCTTCTTTTTCTTATTGCTTTCTTCCCGTTTGCATTGCCAACATCGTTCACGACTTTTCATTTCAT